AAAAAAATACAAAGTATCAAGTGAGAGAAAGAGTTAAGATCTTTTTATTACCTCATATTAAAGGTCTAAATAAATTATTTCTGCATAATTTCACTAAAAGCTACTGAATGGTATTTTTAAATCAAAAATATGGGAATAAATCAAGGAAGAGTAATATACGGTATTCCAGAAACATGTAACTAAACAGAAGGAAAAAGACCAAAGAAAACTCTAGAATGACAGTTAAAAAAAAAAAACCTAACAACAGTCTAACAGCCCTAGAGGGAAACTGTCCAGGTCAGAGAAGTGGCAGGCTGGCTTTTGGAAAGAGACTTACATGAATTTCCAAGTAAAAGCAGAACTGTTGGGCAACCTGACACTTTTGACCAAGTGTAAAAAGCCCTTCAGAGGGGCTTGCTATTTCCAAGGGCTTGTCAATTAAGAACTGTCAAATGAGGTTGGTGGAAGGCAATTATAAATGGCCTTACAAGAAACATAGTATTTACAAAGATCCCAAAGGTGGTAATCACTGCTGAGCTAGTTAAAAGTAAGGCTGTGCTGTGCCTGGGAGAAGTGTGCACACCTTTAATCCCACCATGCCTTTAATCCGAGCACTCAGGAGGCAGAGGGAGGAGGAATTGGGGTCTCTGAATCCAAGGCCAGCCTGGTCTATATCGGGAGTTCCAGGATAGCCAAGGCTACATAGTGAGACCTTGTCTCAAAAACATAAAAGAAAAAAAAAAAAAAGTCTGCACAGCTATACTATAACAGAAACTCCCTAAATTGCGATTTAAAGGAGAAGCTAGTCACTTTTTATTTCATGTAACAGTTCAGGGTGAGCGAGCATTTTGAGGGGTTGATGTGCCTGCTTTTACAAAGTCATTCACCCCCCCCCTTTCCCCACCCTCCACTCTCTGTGAAGGCTTGCCCTCATCTGTAGAGTTAAACCTGGTCAGTCAGTGTTTACGTTCTGGATTGTAAGAACAAGGGCATGTTTGGAAGTGTAGCTTATCACTTTCACTTCTATTCAAATAGCAAGAACGAATTACGTGGTCATACCTACAGGCAATATTCAGAATTTTTAACAACCAACTGGTAGCCAGGCCACTGGCATGTCAGAACAGGGGCCGCTGTAGAGTAAAGGCAAGTTTTGAAGGCTGTCCCTGCTGGAGCAGATGTTAACCCTTTATTTGCTGAATTGTGGTGAATGGTGGGTTGGAGGTCAAAACACCAGCTACCATCAGCTGTAATGGAAGTGTTGAAATAACAGTTGGTGCAGCTACGTTAAGATACGTGAACCCAATGCGGCCACTGGCCATACTTGACTCCAGAAAAGATTGACTACTATAGATGACCAGGAGGGGACGAGTTTGCATATAATGGGACATCGGAAAAAATATGAATAAAGGTCTAGAATTAGTATATCAATAAATTTTACAATATGCATATTGTTAGGAATATAAAATGAAATAATTAGATGAAAGAGTTAAAGAGTTTTTGTTTAGTTTACCTTTGGGATCGAGTGGGAAGTGAGGCAGGATCCTGCTGTTTTTCATTTTAAACTTGGTAGCACACTTTGAATTTCTTAATAATTTCCATGGGCTAGTATAGCAAAAACTAAAATCAGTAAGAAAAAGGTAATGTCGTGGTCAGAAGGGATTGGAGATTGACCTGGAGCCTCAGCTCTAGAAATGTGTATATTAAGAGATAAGACACACGTTTGCTTTGAAGTTAGAATTCTCTGCCACGGCTGTGAATCCAGCACGGCTCATTCCGTCTAAGAACCGTTTGGGTGAGCTTTTACAAATGATTTCCCCAGCCCCAAACTCGGATGGGTTTGGCTTTGGGCAGACCCCAAGGAACCAGTTATTTTAAAAAGCTTCCAAACTTCTCCTTTGCAGCAGGGGCTAACTCCTCTATCCAAGTGGTATTTAAACATCATTGCTTTCTAAAACGCCTGCACTCTCTCATCCTGTTCTCACTTTGAATATTCTGTCAGGGGCTGATGGTCATTTTTGCAAAAGTTGCTTATCTTTATCTCAGATTCTCTGTGCAGAAATTTTAGGGTCCAAACTCAGGTAAATCTGAACGTACTGTGATTTTTCTCCTGTCTTTACCTTAAGTGCTGCCTCTTGGGGCTTCCTTAGCTGCACCCTCAAGTTGCCCCCCAGCTTTGTCTCTGTGGTTAGGTCTGATTTCTCTCAGCTAACGTCTGACAGGAACCCACCAAGAACAGCAATTCTGACTAGTTGGCATCACCGGAAGTTCGCATAGCTAATTAGCTTCACCAAAGGAATTCTGAGAAAGAAAGGGTCATAAGAACTCTGGTTTTCCAAGGTTAGAGAGCTTGCGGCATTGGACTGTTGACTGAAGAAATTGTGGGAAAAGCCAGGCGGTGGTGGCGCATGCCTTTAATCCCAGCACTTGGGAGGCAGAGCCAGGTGGATCTCTTGAGTTCGAGGCCAGTCTGGTCCACAGAGTGGGTTCCGGGACATCAAAGACTACACAGATACACAGAGAAACCCTGTCTCAAAAACAAACATAAAAAAGGAAATTGTGGAAAAGAAGAAGTGTTTATTGTGTAGATGAGACAAATATTCTGTACACTAGAAAAACTTGTAATTACAAACAGAAGTTTTCTCCATGGTTCCATTCCCACGGCAAAGAGTCACCTCATGAGGCAGGTGTGTAAGGGACCTAGCAGGACTAGGTCTTGCTTCTGATACTTGGTCCATGCTCAGGGAGAGTCCAGGCTGGTGACTGGGGATTGCTTTATATTTATACATACTTAATATGAGTAGGCCAGTGTAGTCTCTTGAGTCAGTGGTTCTCAACCTTACAGCTCCTCATGTTGTGGTGACCCCCAACCATAAAATTATTTTCATTGCTACTTCATAACTGTAATTTTGGCACTTTATGAATCGTAAAGTAAATATCTATGTTTTCCGATGGTCTTAGGTGACCTCTGTGAAAGGGTCGTTCGACCCACAGGTTGAGAAACACTGCTTTAAGGTGAGAGGCTGACCCTCATACAAGGTTCAGACTTTGCCCACTTGATACAAGGCAATCTGGGCCAGTGCTTTTCACAGTTGATTATGAACTCCAGTTGCTAGAATGGCATGGCATCCTCTGGGGGTTGAGAGTCTGTCCCAGGGCCTGTCTGCACTTTTGGGGGACAGAGTGCACTTAGATGCAAGGTCTGGTTAGTGGCAGATTCTCATGGTGGGTTTCACTTCAGAGTCCTGTGAGGGTTTTTAAAAAGGCTGGGATCTGGGACCGATTCGGAGTGAATAAATCATATATATACTAATAAAAATGAAGAAGGATTTTGGCAGGCAGAGAGGATGTGTTTCACGGCGTGGTCCCAGCATGCGCGAATGCGGCGACTAGAAACGGAACGGCTTAGTCAGGTGCAGGCAGAATGCAAGGGATGCAAAGTTCCCTTGCATGTGCCATGGCACACAAGCGCTGAGGTCAGAAGACAGCAGCAGGAGGGCGTCGGTTCTATCCTCCTATCATGTGGGTTCTGGGCATCAAACTTAGGTCAACGTGTTTGCAGTAAGCACCTTCACACGCTGAGCCCTATTGCTGGCCCGAAGAATTCCAACTTATTAACCACACAACTATATTCAGTTTTAATCCAGGAACTTTGAAGTGGACTCTCTCTAAGAAGTTGTCATTAATACAGTTGTTAATACAGTTATTCCCTCTTTTTCTAAGATTGCTTTTGCAATAATAATAAAGCAGTTAATTTTTAGCCCAGGTCTTTGGTTTTGAGCAAGCTGAACCACCACCTGTCAGTAGCCCTGGACGCTCCTGAGAACGGCAGTCGTCCCTCTACCAGGGTCTTAAGTCACTAAATTTGGGGAGAAGGGCAAGTAAATGTACAGAAAATATTCTAAAACTTCCTAAATAATTGGCAAAGGAAGCATATCAATGCTAGAATTCCAGCAGTGTGTGGAAATCCCACCAGTGCATATATTTATACATGAACACAATCAGATATAGTAATCACACAGATGTTTCTAAAGAAACCCCAAAGCATCGGAGTTGTCTTCGTAATGCACTGTCTGCCTGGTCTCTTGGTGCAAGAAGGGTCTCCTGAGCTGAGAGAGACCACATTCCTGTTCACTCTTCATCTTCCTGTATCACGGGACATCATCTAGGTACTTTAGGAAAGGACCATTTTTCTTCCTGCGTGTGTTCCCCTGATGGCAACACTCAGCTCATCTCCGGGGACCTGCTACCTAAGAAAAATCTCTTCTTTATAGACAGCGTTCACACAGTGACCGTATTCACATCTTAGAAGGTTACCTAAGGTACCTCCTGGGTTGCTACAGAATCCACACAGGAAGATTTCCAGCCATGAGTCAGAATAAAAGCGTGCCGGTCTCGTGCAGCGGCCCTTAACCCTACTTGCACAGGGGTGTCAAATCAGACTCATCTGTATCCATAGGTGACTCATACCTGTCAGTACACACTTCAGGACCTGCCTCACCTCCATTTCATCACAGTCACTACAAATAGGTCCCAGGTCCCGTCCCAGAAGTTTCCCCTTCTTCTCCTCCCCCAAGTCTCTCAGCCCCCCCACCTCACCCCTCTCCAGATCCACCCTCCCTCTGTCTGCCCTCAGAAAAGATCAGGCCTCCCAGGGCTATCAACCAAACATCACATAATATGCAACCAGAAAACCAAGCACATACTGTCACGTCAGGACTGGAGGCAACCCAGGAGGAAAAGGGTCCCATAAGTAGGCAAAAGAAAATTCTTTTTTTTTTTTTTATTTTGGTCAGTTTTAATTCTTGTAATCTTTAAGGAATAAAAGATCAATAAGCACAATAATCAGTCAGAGCAAGTCAACAAAGAGAATGACCAATGGTCACAAGCAGTCAGCATATAGAAGATAGTGATTAAGAAATATTTAACAACCTTGTGACTTCATACTTTCAAAAATGAAGACAGCGAAGTTATTCTTTGATCAAACAAAACATACAGCTGTAAGTTCCTTAAGGCAACTAGAAACAAATATGGAACACATCACAGATTTGCCTGTCAGCCTTGCGCAGGGGCCATGCTAATCTTCTCTGTATCATTCCAGTTTTAGTATCCATGCTGCCAAAGGTAGCACGAACATTCTTCTGTTGTGCAGACTGCTATTGACAATTTTCTCCTCTCATTTCCCTTCACCTCCTGACACCTGGTCATCTCCCTCCATTCTTTCCCCACTATCAGTGCATTTACTGTGCCACAGCCA